GGCACGCAATGAAACGAGAATGTGCGTGAGATTAAGAAAATCCGCCGGCATATTCACATTAATAAAGCATTTGGGATACTGCTGATTTTTGCTAGAATCGTCTAGTTAGAGCCAGTGTTTTTATTGGACAGCTCGTTTACGGGGAGATCTGTTTCATAAGTTGTATGTCTCAATCTCAGGCCTCATGGTAACTCGTGGCTTGAGCCTCTCGTTAGTGTAGCAATTGACAATCATGTTCAGGTGTTTTCGTTTCGAAATTGACTACACGGGTGTGTTCCCTCATCCTCTTTTTATCAGCGATTTGCGCAATACCTCTAAAGGCTAAATTAAACGTATGTTCTTTTGGTTATCGACCTAAGCGAATGAGGGAAGGAGTCGGCCTGATGTTTGTACCGTCAGTACGCTGTGAATTCATTGGGCATATGCCCCTCCTGCCCAAAGAACTGTCGACTTTAACTAGTTAGCATCATCGGCTGAGAGCTAAAGACCATACAGTAAGTCCCGATCTTCCCCTTACTCACTAACACATTTTGTTCCAGGATTTGGAGGAGCATGTTGAGTAAGGTACTGACGCGCAAGAGTTCCAGACATCAGAACTGTTCGCCACTTGCACCTAGGCAACTATTAGTCCTGACGTTTGTTTGATTAGCAACCGAATGAGTAGATTTTACTCTATCCTCCAAATAAAATAGAGATAAGACACTTGGTATAACGCATATGCCTCCACTCATGTGACATTGTCTATCCCCTGTTGGCATTAGTAATAAAGATCCAGAAAATAGCAGTCTTAGAATATTCTGAGTCATTAACTGCGTTCAAGACCTTACTCCAGGTAGTTACGCATGCATTTGAAATATTTCCCCATTACCTTATGCGCCGCTAGAAGTGAAGGAGGAAAAAACAGCTTGAACGGTACCCATTTCCGATCCGTGCAGTTCTCACACTGAATTGGTGGTTCGTCTATCATTATCGATGAGGATCACTAGCCTGAACCTCAGTTCTCAAATCAATCCACCTCCACTAGGAATTTGAACTCATCTAAACTGGAGATAACTGTGGACCTGTTGTCTGAGACAACTTATTCGAAGTCTGCGCGTGTTGTCCATGTACTTGCGCTTGTTCACAGACGAAGATATGAGGAAAATGGTATTGGGTCCTTCATTGAAGGTCGTTGGCATAACGCCAACACTAAGGAGCCGTTTTAGCCTACCAGTATATAAAGGATAACGGAGCTATTCCGTCCTTTGAGAGCTTTCCAAACTCTGACTTTTAGTGCCTATTGGTAATCCGAAAGTGCTTCAGGTGTTCTATTATATGGGACCTACACGTTTGATCGGTGCTAGGATTCGTGCCAAGCAGTTGAACAGCGAGCCAGTGACTCACTCTCGCATGACGTTTATGCATTCGCGCCCACAAAACGCTACCAGACAGGCCTGCCGCCCGTCGGAACTTCAGACCACCACTGAGTTCCTGTATATAATAAACAACTCCTACTGGTCTTAACCCTTTCACTCCTCTACAGGATTTGGCGTGATAATTATAATGCTCTGAGCTCGCCCACGGCTTAGACTCCTACAGACTTTCCGTGCTTTTACATAAAAATTTGGAATCATACCCAGGAGCACCGTCGGTCCGATGTCGAGTATTCTGCGAAGCAGGCAAATAGAATAGGCCCTATCCCTAGACAGTCCCGGTGGGATCTAACTATTCAACTAGGAAGGCCGTAATGTTGTATATCTTGACGAATTAACTTTTATTAGAAAGTTCCTGGTTAATCTCTTGCATATAAGTGAAGATCTTTTGCCTGCTGTTACTAAAGGCCGTTTAACGAGCCTTGTTGCGACCTTCCACTGCCTAAGCTCAGAATGAGGATGCTGTTATATATTGTCTTGTGGCGGACAGCAAACAATGCTGTACCCCATCAAGGCCCACTGCCACAAAGTCATGCACAGTTACATGCAGCTGTTTCCAACTTGCTGACGTGAAAACGCTTGACCGAAATCCACTCGCACACAGACGTGCACACACACGTGCGCCCAACTAGTCACGGTTTTTTAAGAACAACTTGAAAATGTCACTCCCGAGCCAATGCAGCAGGGGGCCTCACAGGCGACAGCCTTTCGGGCAATGCAACACACCAATAGCACATCACTTGAACTCGTTTCACGACCATAAAAGCAGCTATCATTATCACATCTCTCAACAGACACACAGACAGACATTCGGGCACGACTGGACATAGTCAACACTAATCCTAGCTTCGCCAGTGGCCTCTGCTGCGTCTAAGTAGTGGTTGCACTTGAAGCACTACAATCTCTGGGCCAAATCCCAGTAGTAGATAAAAGGCATCTTGAGATAGATTAATTGTGCACAGCACCCTGCGTTGCTGGCTCAGGCAGCAGTGGAAACTGGCGAAGCCAGGGCTGACGTTGACTGCGGCTAGTCGTGTCTGAATGTCTGACTGTGTGTCCGTTGTGATATGTGATGATGACAGCTGCTTTTATATGGTTGTGAAACGGGTTCAACTGATGTGCAATTGCTGTGTTGCATTGCCCG